TTCTTTATTAAAATTATATATTTTATAAAACAAGAGAAAAAAAAGAGAGGGAGAAAGACAGAATTTGAACTAAAGGCGTATTAAATATGTGCAATTATTGACAAGTGGATTAAATGTAACACCATGATTTTCTAAATGAAGGTCAAGCAAAGGTGAAACTAAAGATAAATTTTAAGGATGAGATATGATAATAATATCTAATCTATATCATTTTTAAATCAACATAATATATAGTATTAAAGGGACTTACCATTTTTTTTCAATATTTATATTATTAGCAACAGAGAAGGATTGCTCGGTATTTAATATGTCACGATCAGGAGTGATTAAAAGGATCAATGGCGCAACACCAACCACCTCAATCGCCTGGAATTGAATGACTTGGACTGGACAACAGAGTTGCCAAGCCAAGCAGAGTTGCTTAAATATAGATGTAAAGAGCTTTCCAGCACAAACACACAAATAAATACAATGTCATATGATTGGCTATCAAATAGAAAGATTTTCGGGACTTTAAAAATTCTCTATTCAATAACCAATTGCATGACATTGTGTCTATCTGTGTCTTGCGGGTGTGATGTCCTGACATTTTTCGACACCTTATTTTTGCTATTACTCGCGTACTACTTTCATTTCTACATTGCTATAAAATAAAATATGATTATTTAATACGTTTGCTTTTGTTTTTAGTTATTGAATTAATTTTATTAATTCTACCTTATTTTATATAGTAGTGATGAAAAGTTCACTTTTCACGTGATGTTTCTAGGGAAAAAGTTACACGCGTGCGCGCGATCGCTGTCCTGATTGGTATATATCTACTGTAGTAGATATACTCTATAGACTTTATATTTACACAGATATAATCTTGTAACCTATAATTTCAATCATTGCCGAGTGTTGCTTGTGAAGAGGGAAAAAGAGAAGTCTTTACATTTTTTCATAGAAATATAAAAATTTAATTAATTGTGAATCTTTTTCCAAATTACGCTGTATACATATGTATGTTATGCATTCATATTTGTTTTTTCTTTCAATTTTGTAATTTTTCAATATAAGTGAAAAATCTCAATTTTAAGAAACAATATATATTTTATATATGATAATTATTTTAGATTATGCAGTTATCTAAATTAAAAAAGCGAAGAGAACGAACATTGAGTGTGCACTTTCCTCATGTGCTAAAAGATAAAAAAGATGTTGAAAATTTATTCACGGGTAATTTTTACATAAAATTACCACGACAGTCCAGTAGATCATGTCATGTTGTGTTCTCCAATGTAGAGGAAAAAATAACGAACTATAAATCTGCAAAGGAAAAAACAATTAATGGCAAGCGAATTGTTATTAAACCACTATGTGCTCTTGTTAAAAAAAATGCCAAGAAAATAAAAAGAAAGAAAGTTTGTATACCCGAAATCAAACCAGATATTAAAGTGACACAAGCGTAAGAACGTTATTTCCTAAATTGTAACTTAATTTTTAGATGCCATTATTAATATTTTGTTATATATGTTTGTACACAGATTATTTGTCTCAAATATAGCAACTGGTATAAAATCACATGAACTGAAAGGTGCCCTTCCTGGATGTGTCCATGTTACTTTATTAAAATCTTACAATAAAGACTTTAAGTAAGTATAATTCATCTTTTAAATTTCTAATATTACTAATATATGTTAGAATTTTATCTTATATAACAATACATTTATGTGTATATCTGTGTTTATAGGAGTGCAATAGCAAAAATGGAAAGTATTCAAATAGCAGCAGAATATTTGAAGAACAAATATAAATGGCCTGTTTTGAAAGGACATAGAATATGCTTGAAATCGGACACAAGAACAAAACATAAGAAAAGAATTTCTACTAATACTCTAAAAATTTATAATGGAAACACAATAGAGGAATGTAAATTGAATAACGATGTAAAAGCAACAATTGAAAACATATAATTAAAATGTTTAATTTTGTTATTTAATCATTGTCGAAATTTTTATTTGAAATCTATATTACCTTAAAGTTAAATTTTGATAAACTTTAGTCACATTACTATTTCTAAATTTACTAATAGATAAATGCATTTTGATTATACTAGTTTGGATATTAATGTGCTTGCATTATTAATTATATATATATATATATGATTTTTTATGAGCATTTTATATATATTAGAATCTTTACGGTACATACAATATCCATGTATGCATGCAACAAAGTTGGATTCACAGCAGAAATTATAAATAAGAGCAAAATTTTAGAATTTTATTTATAAATCTGATTCTAAAAATATTTATTCTAAAATTATTTTATATTGTGGGAGGTACCGAGGGGTTAATGAGAATTCAAAGAGTCAGGGAGGAAGGCGTGAAGAAATTTGCTAGAACTGGTTGTTTATTAACAAACGATATTTGTATCTATCGCAACTGTAACACTTTAATGATTGGATCTCGCGTATCAAATACTTAACGGGCGCTCACGCGAATAGCGAGGAAGAACGCATGGAGAAATAAGTAAACGGTCTTATTAGGGCTGCGTTCCGTTTCACGCATTGAGCACATAGATCGCCTGGAAATCTATAATTCACGTAACATATATTATAGATTTCCAGGCGATCTATGCGCTCAATGCGTGAAACGGCGCAAGGGGCACGAAACAGAGTATGTTCTTTTCTATGTGGGCATCGGCCCCCACTCCTTAAATAAAGGCAAACGCTCGGTCTAGATATACTATGTCTATGGGTTGCCAAGTGCCAAGTGATTAGCAAATGAAGGCGCTGTTGTCGAGTTGGCAAGCAACGAGACAACGGCTGCGCGCGCAATACAGATGGCAGCAGAAAGTTATGCTGAATGGGTTATAAGCCCTATAGCATCTTATAATATATATATCCACACATTAAGTTTTCGCTCTAAGTGCCGGTCTACAATAGATGATTTAAGCCCTAAGCCTTAAGAAATTGACTAAGTGCCGGTCTACAATAGGTGATTTAAGCCCTAAGCCTTAAGAAATTGACCAATCACAGTCAAGTATGAGGAGAATACTCTACTGTGATTAGTCAATTTCTTAAGGCTTAGGGCTTAAAATCTTATTGTAGACACCGCTTAATCACAGTCGGGTATTCTCCTTATACTTTACTGTGATTAGTCAATTTCTTAAGGCTTAGGGCTTAAAATCTTATTGTAGACACCGCTTAATCACAGTCGGGTATTCTCCTTATACTTGATTGTGATTGGTCAATTTCTTAAGGCTTAGGGCTTAAATCACCTATTGTAGACCGGCACTAAAGCAGAAAAAAGAATTGTTGCTTTGTCCTAATTAGTCAAATTCCAATTTCATCAATAGGTTTGTTCGCGTTGCTTGAATTTTTTGCACTCAGTATCTTCGCTTTCACTCTCTTCAACATCCGAATATATATTTATCTCGTTTTCAGTGCAGAACTTTTTGGGAATTTCAAGCAACGCGAACAAACCTAATGTGTAGTTTATGATACGAACTTTCTGGAAGTTTCTTCAACCAATCGGTACGTCTAACAAACTCGTATGACAGATCGCACCCTAATTCGAGATATCGATACATAGATCGACACATGGTGCAGATCGATGTGTCGAGTGAAACGAATTGTTTCTCACGTTTCTTTCCGATACAAGGCGTATTCTGAGTTTGTCAAGTTCGTTGAATTTCCAATAATATCCGTTTTAATCCTACTTGTTGTGATAGTCACAAAAAAGTAAATGATTTGTCGAAATTCATAATCTTTCCAAAATCAAATATGTTTGATTATATTTTAATAACTGTTTATACTTTTAGCATATTTACGAATATACGACGTGTGTGTTCTCATATTTTTCACCTCTAAATATATAAATCATAATTTCTTTATTTTTTATAATTCATGTAATTGTGTAGTTTCTCAAAATATAATTTTGACATATAATTTTTATTGTACAATATATGTATGATATCTTTGTATTATGGTATATATACATAACCTTATTTAAGTATCCGAGTAAGTAGAAGCATTCTCTTATAAAAAGAAAGTACAATGCTATATCATACCATTAATAATATCAAATCATATCATTAAAGAAGAAACAGGAAAGATTATATTTGACAAACTTACCTATCTACTTTTTTTTCTATTTGTTAATAATACATTTTAAATTTATCAATTATTAACTTGGATTTTATACTAGATTATTTTCATTATTATTTATAGAATGTTGATGCCAAAAAAGAATCGTGTAGCTATCTATGAGTACCTTTTCAAAGAGGGAGTTATGGTAGCAAAGAAGGATTATCATGCATCGAAACATCCGGAATTAGAAAATATTCCCAATCTTCAAGTCATTAAGGCTATGCAGGTAACAATCTTCAATATCTCTTTTGTGCATTATATAAAGTAAGATCTTATTGCATTAAGAATTATAAATATTTTCTAACTTTATGGACTATATATATATATATATCTTTCAGTCTTTAAAATCTAGAGGATATGTGAAGGAACAATTTGCTTGGAGGCATTTCTACTGGTATCTTACAAATGATGGTATCGAATATTTACGTGGATACTTGCATTTACCACCTGAAATTGTGCCCTCAACTCTCAAGAAACAACCAAGGTCTGAAACCACAAGGCCGAGACCTGCTGCGACTAGAAGCGAGGGCTCGAGACCAACGGAAGATCGGGCAGGATACAGGCGAGGTCCGGGTGGTCCTCCAGGCGCTGGTGACAAGAAAGCTGATGTAGGCGCAGGTACAGGTGATCTTGAATTCCGTGGTGGCTTCGGCCGTGGAAAAGCACTACAGTAACTTTATTCGTATAATGAAATTTTAAATAAATATTCTAAAATATATCGTTTTTTTTTATTCTGTCCTTTAATTCGAATAATGCTTTTATCATTTTTAGTATTTTGCATTATATATACTAACAAATTGAATGAAGTTTCTTTTCATAGTTCCTTTATTGTATCAATATATAATAAACTACAAACTCTTTGAACAGAGAGGTGAAGGAAACATACACACACACACAATTTTTTTTATAAAATTTTATATATTTTTCTATATATTTTATATGGAAGCAGAGTACAGAATAGTATTATAGCAAACTTACAATATATTTGGAAATTAGACCTGTTGTATATATAATATTAATAAGTAAATTTTTTTATATAGTAAATCATGATTTTCAATTAAAATCATCACAGATTTTTCTACATTTGTGCTTATACAGCAAAAAAACATAGATAATTTTTATATAATTTAACATATTCTTGTCACACACACATAATTATAACTTATATTAAGATTTAAATAAATATTCCTAAAACAGTTTTTGTAATCCTCTGTGAAGGACAAAGTTCTTTCCTTTATGTCAAAGTATTACTTGTCAATGTAAGTTTACAGGATAGACATAAGAAGATAATTGATCTTCACATCATAATATATAATATATAAGCATACAAAGATAGATATAAAAGATTTACTGATTTTTAATTAAATTTTCATTTGTATTCGTTAAGTTATTATATCGACAATTTTTTTTTTTTTTTTTTTTTTTGTTACCCATGACACTATCAGTATTTACATTGGTAACTACTATACTGAATTACTTATTATACTTATACTGAATTAGATATACTAATATTCATAGATAGTATCAAGTAAGTTATTGTAGAATAATAAATTATAGCACAGAGTTAATATCACTTAGATCTCTTTTTGAAATATTTAAATAATCTTGCAAGCTTTTCTTTTGCTAAATAATATCTTGTATTCCTGGCAATATAAAGCGTTCAATGCTAGTTTTTAGTCTACTGCAACTAAATTAAATTTGATAAGTTATTTGAGAAACTAATGCTCCTAAATTAGCCATCATTCAATGAAGGTCTTATCATTTTTGTTATGTTCCAACATTGATTAATATAAATTGCGCAATTAATATCTTTTCTCTATTTTTGTGTGTATAAATAATTTGTCTACAAGATCCTTTTGAAACTAATTAAAAGACATTATCTTCAATTTTAATAATTTTTGTACATTATATCTGTGTTGCTTTGATACAAGCACATTATCTTCAATTGAAATATTTAACAAGATTATACACATTTATGATATAGTGTAAATGTTATATCATTTTACATATTACTCAAAGCAAATGACTTTCACAAAGAAAATTGCAATTTTATGTAATATTGGCGTATCTGTTAAAGTATATATAATAAAGAATCTAGAATTCTTATAATCTCTCTGAACAAAATAATCTTATATTATATCATTATTGTTATACAAACAAAAAAAAAACAAATCAGAATTGCATTTAAAAGCTAGAGATAAGTATGAAAAGAATATATTATTGGCTGTATAATCTCCTTTTTCATTATTGATTAATATATTAGCAATAAACATAAAATTTCTATTTTTTGTATATGTTGACAAGTAAAAGTATTTTACACTAGAATCTTGAAATTTACTTTGCTTTTGTTAATTATTATGACAGCTCTAGAATGTGTACGAATTTCATCAAATTGTATCTTGTTACACTCTTGTTATTTAGAATCCCATAATTTAAAGCATATATATATGCATTCAGTATGCTCAAATGTCCAACAATGATAGTATATTATCATATGTAAATCGAAATTTTGATAATCTGTTGTATATCTAGAAAACTTAAATGCTATCTACCTATCATCACACTGCAGATAAAACATGTGCTAATGGCTTAAAGAGTTACTTTGAAATATTCTGCTACAGGAAGAAATTCGAAACAATGAAAATCAACAAAAAGGAGTGGCAATAATTCTCTGTAATAAATAAAGTGCGACCTTAACCATTGTCGCATCTTACTGTGTCACAATTTGTGCTCCATAGCAGGCAATTGCCTATACCGCTGTAACAAATGAGGAAGACAGCGGCGAGGAACACAAGACTGCAAATAGTGCAGGGCTTACGTTCCAGGAAGAACCCTATCAAGTAGAGCGCCATAAACATGACATGGGTTTGCAACAACGCCGGATTGACAGGTTTCGGTATCAGCAGCACCGGGATCAGCCATTGTAGGCAGTACATTCTCTCTTGAGTGTATAGGGATGGTCGAAACAGCACTCGCAACGTCTTTCACATCAGACGAATATCTCATCAATAACAGGACCTTCGGAAAATAACAACATGAGCAATAGAGCTGTAGCTAATAACCTGGATACCCATCGACATAGAAATTGTTATTAACCTCATTTGGAAGCATCACCGCTTGCGTACGAATCAGTTTGTCGTCATTGGTTGTCACTCCTTAACTTTCAATATACATTTTTTTTCCTTCGACTGTATAACTATCCGCTGTACTGCTAATTGCTATTAATGTACAGGGGAAGGGAAGAGGGGAAAAGGGAAGAACAATCAACACTAAATTGCAATATACCAATAATTTCGCACAATTCTCAGCTTATTTAATAACCACGAACTATGGACTTCTGTATCATATACTAGACCGCTAACTTCGATGCTAAAATCCGTATCAAACTATGCATTGAAGATTAAAATTAAAAATTGAGAATTGAAATTTGACCAATCAGAACAGAAAGAGCTAAAATTCCTTTAGCCTGATTGGTCAAATTTCAATTTTCAATGCACCGTCTGATAAGCCCGTATCAGACCATGCATTGAGATTGAAATTTGACCAATCAGGACAAGGAAATTTTAGTTCCTTTTATCCTGATTGGTCAAATTTCAATCTTCAATACGTAGTCTGATACGGGCTATACGGGCTTTATATTCGGGCATTGAAGAAAATGAGCGCGAAGGATCCGATATGAGTGTAGAAAAAATGAACAAACCTACTGTGCTGACAAAATGAACAAACCTACTGTGTAGTCGCCGGGGCCGGGATTCATTTCGAGAGAGAGAGAAAGAGAGAAATGTGTTTTGAGATACTCTAAATATTCTTATTTTTTTGTCTGTCACATTTGGCAATCGTTTAATATCATAATAGAATTTTGTATTTTGTAAAAAATCAATCGTAATAATTTCTAATAAAATTGCGTCTTACTATTTTCAACCAATGTGTTTTTTAATCGAATTGCTTTTTCAACGACGTTGATTTTCGCGTCTGCTGTACGCTAAGCATATTCGACGCATATATTTCGGTAAATGGAACCAAGATTCTACGGATATCAATAACACTGCAACGGTATGTTTATATTTATTTTAATGGCGCTCAAATTTACAAGTGGAAATTATTATATTGTCATATTTCTTTTCTTTTTTTTTTCTAGGTTACACTATACCCTTAGAAATGGCGGATAAGGCTATGATGAAGGTAGTATGTATAACTTTATTAGATTCTTACTTATTAAGTATAATTGCCTATTATTAAGTTTTTAATTTGCATTTATAGCAAATCGCGGAGCAGAAACTTAAAGCTTTTTCCATCGGTACTATGGGTAAACGGCCATTGAGTAAAAAAGAATTGGAAGAACAACGTAAGAAGGAACAAGAACAAGCCGCAGCTCAGGTAAATGATGCTGCATATTGATTTTTTTGGTTGTCCATTTTATCGTACAGATTGTATTAATTTTATTCTATGGTTGTAATTACGCTTTGTGTACAGGCATTTGAAGAATTTGTGGCAACATTTCAAGAAACACCAAGTAAAACAGCTAGCAAGGTATGGGTTAAAGCAGGAACATACGATGCAGGCAAAAGGCGTAAGTATAGAATTCATGTGTGCATTTGCAAACAATTATTTCTTAAATGATTAGAAGAGTAAATTGTTATAAAATAAACTTTTTATTTTATATTATATTATTTTCTTTTTAAGAGGAAGACACAAGAGAAAAGGGGAAACTTTATAAGCCACAGTCAAAAATCTCAGAAATAGTTGATAACAGATCATCAGCAGAACAAGCTCAAGAATATGCAAGATTGCTTGGTTTGAATGAACGAAAACTAGATAGGTTAGGCAAGAAAAAGAAAGAAGGGGAAAAAAAGAAAAGCAATCTTGAATTATTTAAAGAGGAGCTGAAGATGATACAAGAAGAGCGTGAAGAGAGGCACAAATATAAGGGCGTAGTGAAGACAGTAATATCTGCACAATCTGAAGATCCAATGATGGCTGCTTTAAAATGCGTGGAAGGTATTATATATATAATAACCGAATCACGCAAACTCGGCTTTGAAATAAAACGCGTCGTATTAATCTTCGATAGTTTTTAACTTTCGTCTGCAGAATTTCATCACTTGAATATTTAACGCAGTCATACAAAGGACACCTCGCGCCAATTCTACGACTCGAAATACAAGACGGCAAACGAAAGAGAGGTGTCTCTCTTTCTTTCTCTTAATGCAGGAAGAAGTTCTTCCTGTGTCTATAAACGAGATCTCTGGCATGCATGGCTGCGTGCGTAGGTGTTAGCTAGCACGCGTGCAACCCGATGCATAATGTATTCGTGTGCAACGAGTGCGACGGAGCAACGCCGCGTAACCGAATTAAAAGTGAGAGATGAATTTGAGACATCTTGAGGGTTGTTTTTTTATATCGACCCTCGCGCGTTGACTTCTTCTTTTATGAAAACTCGGTATTAGAAACATTAAAGCCTCCGACAATCGTGGATTGTGTATTATAATCGAGTTGTCGCGAATCCTGCGGATATTTGGAAATTATGATTTTAATAAATAAAAGAATTTTGTATATTTTTAATTACTTTTATGCTTACATGCATGTATTGTATATTATATACATAAATATGTATTGTGTATTATATATATAAATATATATATATATATATATATATTATATAAAATACTTCAAATTTTATTTTAATTTGATACAATGCCTCTCTCCAAATTTTGCTTTAAAAGTTGTTTTTGCAATGAAATATGATATATTTTTATAGCATTACTATTTAAATCTGTAGTGCGCTTATAACTTTAGTAGGTAATAAATCCTCATTTCCGGATCCGCGAAAGGCTAATCTGCATAACTTCATTGATGATCCCCGTCTCTTAGCCCTGATATATGAGGGTATTGTCCTTCTCCTTATCTTTTTCCTTGCCACCTCCCTCTATCTCATAATTATAAGAAATGTTGAAGAATTTTTGTTTTACAGATGGCTCATTTGATAATGGTGATCCAAATACTACAAACTTGTACTTGGGAAATTTGAATCCAAAGGTAAAATATATATTGATTTTTTCTTATATATATATACAATAATTTCCCTATGTTCTGTTTCTACACAGATCACAGAACAGCAACTGATGGAAATATTTGGCAAATATGGTCCATTGGCTAGTATAAAAATAATGTGGCCACGCAGTGATGAAGAGAAAGCCAGACAAAGGAATTGTGGTTTTGTCGCGTTCATGAGTCGTAAGGATGGAGAGCGTGCATTGAAAAATCTTAATGGTGAGAATATAACAAAAGTATTTTTTTAACAAATATACAAATTGCTTCACACACAAGAATCACCTTTTATTTATTTACTTATGTGTATACTATTGTTAATATATTATTGAATTTTAATATACATAAATTTTTATATTGCTTTAACTATTATAATTTACATTATAATGACAATTTATAATTGGGATATTAAATATATATTATCATATCATATCATGAATTAGGTCGCGATATAATGCAATATGAGATGAAGTTGGGCTGGGGAAAGAGCGTACCAATTCCGCCTTATCCCATTTATATTCCACCTGCTTTGATGGAGATCACGCAGCCACCGCCCCCGTCTGGTCTTCCATTTAATGCTCAACCACATCGTCGCGACAAACACAAGGTACACCAAATAAACCATTTGAGAAGTGTAATTAATGAAGTAGTTAGTTATATGTTTCAAGTTTTCTTTATTTAATATTATCTTTTGAGAAAATAATCACATTCCGAAAATATTTATTAATCAATTGTATTTTTTTCTTTTTTATCATATATTAATTACATATATTAAGATAGTTATAGGAATTAAAAAGGTATATATTTTATACTACAAATATCTAGTAAGTAAAGAGTTCTACATGAATATTCGGTAAACATGCATTCTATTAATTAGTACATTAACATTTAATATATTTATTTCTTTTATTTAATTTTATTGATTTGAGCGATTTTATATAACAATTTAACAAAACGCGAAATAAAATCATCGTCTAAAACTCTAACGATGTACTCGTTCTCTTTTCCCATGTAGTCGATAAAATGATACTTCAAGATGATCACAATGATAAATTGTGATAAAAACTTGTTTGTTTATTTTATTCAAATTGAATAACTATTTTTGAAACATAATCTCAGATCCCACGTATCCGCAATATACAGAGCGCGGAGCCGCAGGAGAAGGAAAACTTTGAAAAGGTAAAATTATTTCTACGTTCTATTTAAAAAATAAGCTTGAATTAGATATTTATTTTCCTGTTAATCTGTTATTTTATTTTATTAAGAATTATTATAGATTTATAAATTTTCATGTAACATATATGTATTATATCTATTTATAAAAGTATTTATGAAGAAAGTTTCCTAAGTCAGTAAAATTGTTATAAATTTTCCAACAAACTAACAGTTTACTTATAAAAATATTTTAATGATAAAATAGGAACAAATATATACTTATATTTTAAATTTAGTTTTGAGTGAATAAAATATACATACTCATACATAAACATATATGCACTCCATGTGTTAATTCCTTGTTGATCATATTAAATGTACAATTCTAATTATATTTATAAATCCTGTGTTAATTTGTTGGCGACTATTTTTGGGATACACATTTTGACATTTGGATTGGGACATTCTATCATCTGTCACTATTGCACTGATAATCTGGACTGATGATCAGATTTTGCAGAATGCTGTTGTCAAAGTGGTGATACCAACAGAAAGGTATTTATTGATTTGAATAATATAATGACAGATCTGTAAGCGCATGTGTGTGCGCGCGCGTGCATGCACACAAACACACACACACACACAAAATATATATATATGTAAAATATGAATGCATGAAATGTATTTGTAAATGACGCTTTTACTGAATGTGATATTTTTTCGATAGCAATTGATACAAATGCATACTTAATCAAATCGTGTGTTACAGAAATTTAGTAATGTTAATACATAGAATGGTGGAATTTGTAAT